TGATTTTCTACAAATGAAGCATGAGCACACATTGCTTTGCATCTTATGAACACAACCAAGCCTTAAAAATACACTCTGGACCACCCTTTTAACACTTCAATAATTATACACATCGCCTAAGCTATAATTAACAACTGTCAGCTTCACAGAGTATCACAAGTATCTTTAAAAACTTAACAGGACACACGGTGATAGACAAATATAGACACACACAGTCATTCATTCCCACTCCCTCACACAAACACACACACTTGGAGCCTCATTATCTGCGACATGCAGAGGTAGGATTAGCTCTTGAAGTTCCATTACCTTGCTTAAGTCTACCAAAGTGAGATTTTTCTTTCTCCTAGACAGTCTTTCTTTTTCTTATCAGCATGTTTTCACACTTCTCCACCTTTCCATGCAGCTAGCCTTATCTCAGTATAAACGTGCACAATGTCCACTAAAACATACTTAAACATCCCCATGAAGTGCCTAAAAACACACAGCGTTCTTCATTGTTGACTATTTCAAATCAAACATGAAAAAACAGGATGGGACATATTAAACAGCTCTTCTCCATTAAAATAAAAATAGCCACCGGTGTTTTGTTTTATCACAGCTCGGCCAGAGCTATTGAGCTCGGAAAAGTCACATTAGACAGCTTATAACAGACACAGATTAATAGTATAGTGCTGAGGCTGTCTCATCCTAATCGCCTCCATAGTGCTTTAAAATATAGCATTCTGTGTATAAATCAAATGGGGCAGATTTGTTTTGTGGTCTATATGATCCTCTTTATGCTATCATGTCTCAAACTGAGCCGTCTGTGTGTGTGTGTGCGCGCATGTGACTATACAACAGATACCAGATTTCATTAATTCATTCATTTTCCTTTGACTAATTTTTATTTTATTTTAGAGGTCACCACAGCGGAATGAACCGCCAACTATTCCAGCATATGTGGCCAATTTAGGTTATTTAATTCACTTGTAGCAGATGCCTTTGGACTGTAGGGGAAACTGGAGCATCAGGAGAAAAAGGAAACCCATGAAAACAAAGGGAAAACATGCAAACTCCACACAGAAAGCCCAACTGGCCCAGCCAGGACTCGAACCAGCAACCTTCTTGCTGTGAGGCGAGAAAAATAATAATTGCGTGAATAATCAAAATTATATTAAGAGTGGTGGTACAACAACAGGAAGACAGACATGAATCTGGGGGCATATTTCTGAAAGTTTCATTATCGTAGGTCTTAACTTAAAGATATGATAACATTTCGCTAATTAGGTTAACAGAAACAAATCTTGACTTGATTTGAGATCCTTATCCTATCTTGAAAAATCATATATTATCTTTAGACATCCTAAATTGTATCATGTAGTTCGATAATACACTTTCAGGTGTGTTAGCAAGCAAATAACACTATGCGAGCTGCTAATGAGTTAGCCTAAACAAAATGGACAAACAAAACTGATGGAAAAAATAATCCAAAAAATAGACATAGTCGCTTGCTGGTTGCTGTGCTAAATGTAATACACAGTTGGGTTGCAGCCTATAAATACTCATAGATGTTTTGTTATCAAAATTAAGCATCTTCAGGGTCAACCAAGCAGTGTTGCCAACTAATGTCAATGAAAAGGCAATAAGCTCTACGCGAAAAGTCCCTAAATGTCATGTCATACGTCAATTGGTATGTTACTGATGTCATCACATTCAACCGTTTCTGTTTGTTTTATAGTCTATGGTTAATAAAGGGGTGTTTATATTCTTACTATGCTTATATATGCATGTCAATTTAACTAAATTCATTGCTGTTTGAATTCGATATATCAGTATAGATGTCTAGTGAATTTGCAGTAATCTCTCAGATGTAATAAACTTAGACAAGTTCCGAAACAGTCACTTAAATATCTGATTGTGAACAAGAAAAGAATAAACGGTCAAATTAAACTGTTGAATTGAAAACAGAGGAGAAGCAGTTCGGTTTGACTGTGCAAGGGAAATACCTAACAGTCATTTGTGCTAAATCATTTGTCGTCGATACAAAGAGGGCTGATCTGCTCTCAGGCTGCAGGTGGGAGAGGCTGCTGTACAGGGACTAGGACGCCTGTGAGTGCTGTGAGGCAGGGTGAAGAGTAGTAATGGTACAATATGGGCACATGAGAGTCTAAAAATCTCAAGTGACACCAAAATAAGGGCACTAGATTTGTTGCTAACCACTTTAAAAAAAAAAAAACAATTTAAATCCCTAGGAGGGCCTGAAAAGTTGGCAACACTGCATCCAAGTATCTTAACTGTAAATACAGATGTTCTTCATTTTCAGTCAACGATAAATGAATGTAATGCCATTGTTAGACATGTTAGACAATTCGTCATCTGGAATTATAAGGTTCTATCTGCGTTCTGAATGATTTTGAGATAATGAGCTTAACAGTATGTGTGTAACATTTGTTTAAACAAAAAGTCTTAAAATGTTAACAACTTATAAAAAAACATCCCATAATGTAAATAAGTTGTCAATTAATAAGAATATGTGAATAACTCAATTTTGACAAAAATGTCAGATAGAACCTTATAACTCTGAGGTAACGAATTATACTCATTTATATAAGCTTATAAGTAATAGCTTGTGGTTCTAACTGAATTTACCAGTTACCAAACAGAAAGTATGAGCTTTTAAAGTTAGGATCCTTCCAACATAGGCTCATTCAGAAAACGTAGCCCTATATACATTTCTAGAGATCGCGATTTATGTAGCCAGAAGTACGTATGGTTGTGTTTTGTCTTTAAAAATGAACCATACCTGCCAACACTCCTATTTTTCTCGGTAGTCTCCCATATTTCAGACCCATCTTCCGACACCCTCCCGTTTTGTTTTAACTCCTGGAAATCTCCCATAATTTCCCTTAATAAACCCACCACACCCCTCCCCCCAGATCACCGACTTTGGTATTGTATCCGATCACAGCGGCTGCCCGAAACCCGGTGCATGGTACAGTTACTTAGCTGTGTTATTTACCTCACGGTCTCCCAGATTTCCAAAGACAAATATTGACAGGTATGAACGCTACGAGGGGGTATAAGTCCGATCCTTTTCGTGATTACCAGCTGATAGCTTACTTCCATATGGACTGATTTCCCGCTGTTACCAGTTTGCCCAGTGACTCGACATACACTGGAGGATTTGGGTCGCAGAGTTGACCTTGACAACAGGGTTCGAGTCCAGCAAAGAAAACCGAAAACAGGTAAGACAAAACCATAATCCAAAAAATAATATGAACAAGTAAATAACATGGTGAGAATGTGGTAAAATCTAAAAACTTAATAAAAATCAGGCTGCTCCAAGGGCTTTTCTTTTCTGGATTGCTTTTGAAAACACTATTGATTGGGTTTTGGGAAGTTGGTGGGAGCAGGTCAATCGGTGCTTTTTAAAAACACTATTGGTTGGGTTTAGGGAAGGAGCAGAGTGGGTCAGTTGATTTGGCAGTCAGTCATTTAGTCAGTCGACAGCGACCTCTGGTGGATTTATGCGAGAACAGCATGAATGGCACTCACAAGAGAAATTTGAGATCTCAAAAAGCGTACACAGTGGCCTCTGGCAGATTCGCAAAAACAAAAAACTGCAAAAAAAAAAAAAAAAAAAAAAAAAAACATAGCTCCTGGGACGTATTTAGCAATCCAGGAACGTATATAGGGGTACATAATCAGAATGAGCCTGGGTTGGATCTTTCTGTAATACAATCAATGAAGTGAGGAGTAAAGTCATTAATTGTGGATTTAAAGGACATAAATCTTCTAAACGTTTTTTTTCTCATTTTTTCTTGGAGCATATTGGCTTACAGATAATCTTAAGGCTGGAATTGTCATAATAAAAGCCAAAAAAAACTTAATATTTTAGCAGTGTCAAGATTGTGTACAAAAACAATTTAAGATTTAAAAACACTATTAACCTGCTACAAATCAAGCACAATCAATCCGACCAGCTTGGGGTTTGGCCTGACCAAAATCACAGTAGTTCATTCAGAGACCACACGCTTCACTGTATTCTGCTTCTTGATCCCCTATAAAAGTGAACTCAGAGTCACCGCAACCTAGAGTCTGCAGCGGATTAGCACTTGTCTGTACAACTTAGGAACGAGGCGGCCAATAAGAATGAACTAATCAGCAATTGTTTAATCCAACTCTAATTTACATTGGCTAATGAGGAAGCTTTGATCTGCGCAGCTCCTTTATGATTGGACACAAGTGGTGCGTGGGATTGCCTGGTGTGTACTATCCACTCTATTCAGAACATCAGGCCCGAGGCACTCGCTGTCCCAGTTTTGACACACATTTACATGTACTGCTATGAATTACAGCATCAAAGTCACTACATATTAAAGAGGAACGAGCGAGAGAAAGAGCATGTGTGGGTAGTTAGGTGTTTGAAAGAAAGAGGGAAAAAGTGTGATAGGGAGACTGCTAAAGAACGACAGGACATTGCAAATGAACAGCGAAAGCAAAGAAAAGAAGATCAGAGTTTTCCAAGCTGGGGTCATTAAGTGTTCTTTTTTTGGTTTCCCTAGTCAAAAAACTCATTAGCTGTTATCAAGTACTATGTGCAGAAATGTCAGCTTTTCACATAGCCCTTGACAATGACTCAAAATAATTGGAAAAGAAAAAAAAATTAATAAATGCTTTTTTTATATTGGAAACTGATCCATGCGATGCATAAGACTGCAAGCGTTAAATTATTCTAAGGCAATCATTCCTTTTTGAGAACCATGCAATGCATTCCTTCATGAAATATTAAAAATAAATTGATACATTAATAATAAATCAACAGTACATTCCGTGTAATGTCAAATTTATATTCAAATATTCTTTGATTTTATTTGCACGCAGTGACTAGAAAGCAAAATGTACCCAGGTAAGACCTGTACCACACAAGCTACAATTGTTTAATAGAATGCATGCATGCACACATAAAATAAAGTGCATGCTTTCTTTTTTTTTAGGGTAGAAAAGTCTGAGGCCTGTGTTGTGAAACATGCCCCTGTATCCCTTGGGAACAAGGTTGGTAATACTCAAATACACGAAAAGGAAATTAGGAGTGGAGTGCACTAGCGCAGGCAGGTTTGCAAGAGCTACTCTGTCACTTACTGAAGAAGATGTACTCCGTGTAGCTGCTCCAGATCTTGTCATCTCTGTACTGGTTGACGAATGCAGCCGTTCCAGTAGAGTTGCAGGCCACCATCTGAAAACCAGCCTCGCTTAACCTGTCGAACGCTTGCTCCAGGTAGGTGAACTTCAGGTAGAAGCGGGAGGTGTATTTCTCTGGTGGGCGATCCGGATCCCGACTTTCATTTAGAGTGTCTCCAAACACTTCCTTTGCCAGGGCGATGCGCCCACAGACCATGATCCGTGCCACGCGCCGAAACTTTGCATCTGCTTGATTATCCCTCACCATTGTGTAGGATCCCCGATAACCAATGGTAATGAACCCTGACCTCTTGTCCAACGTGGAAGAAGTAGTTGCGTAATTGATGGCATGGTGTCCAGTTCGAGTCACCAACTCACTACTCTGTGAACTTTCCTCAATATCACTCTGGCAGCCTTCATCGTTGAGAGAGCCTTGCTTGGCTACACGTGGGCCCAGAAGTCTCAGCAGTTCCCCCAACTGGAAGTGCTCGGCTTCCCTCTGAAGACGCTCCCGCTCTGGAAAGTGTTCGGGCAGCACAAGCTGGCGATCTCGTAGGAAGTCCAGCACATATCGGAACAAGAATCCATCTCGGTCGATGAAGAATCGTCCTCGGCTGTCACGTGGCAGCTCGTGCGGGGTACACCGCGTGAACATGGTGTGGAGGGTGGTGTCAGGTACGCTGACCAAGGTGGAGCGCTTGGTGACGTACACCTGGCCCCCAACGTTGAGCTCCACAACCTCCGGGTACGGACTCGACACCTCGCTGATAGGGAGTATTGTTTCCTTCATGGCCATGATCCAAGCACACCGACAAGGTAAACGCGAGAAGAATGAAGAGAGACGACTCTGGAAAGATTTCAAAAAGAACCAGAGAATGAATCCATAGAGGTCCAAGAGTGACGGATGTCAGTCAAGACTTCATTGCAACAGCTCCTAAAGTTTGAGAGAGGACTACATCGCTGCCGGTGAATGAAGAAGGGATAGAGAGAAGAAAAGAGAGATTAAGAAAAAAGGAGGAGAAGAGAAGGGGATGTAGTGCTATCAAGTTTCCTCAGCTGCTGTCCCTCTGTTGATGAAGAGAGCAGTGGAGTACGAGATGGAGACACAGGGAGAGAGAGAGGGAGAGGGTGGGAAAGAGGAGGAACGCCAAACAGAGACCCACATCATTTGTCCAAGGTCTAAGGGAAGCCACAGTGACATCATCTACAGAATGAGAGAGGGAGTGGAGGTGTAGCCGCACAGTCCTGCCTTTTAAAGAGATAGGAGTGCAATCATTTACACACTGCAAGCAAGCAGCTAAAATTAATTGGCAACAAAATATAGGCAGAAAAGGTTAGCAAAAAATAATTGCTGGTTTGTACCTTCAGTCATGTCCATTTGTATGCTGTTGTGTACAATAATGCTGTGTCTAAATGACTATCTAGTGTAATTGAGTTGGACTCCAATGTCTGCATGTTGAGGCACTGTCAATAATGAACAGGCACACAATGTGATTGTCTCCTGGGCATAAACACAGATTAGCTGTAATTCTCACATTTTTTCTGCCAAACCACTAAAATGGTGGGAGAAAGTGCCTGTGTGTGAGAAAAAAAAGAGAGAGTGTGTGTACTATATTAATCACCAGGAAGACTACATTGCCACCTAGGGGACATATGGCGGTATAGTCAGCCATGTTTGTCAATGAAGATAAAAAGTAAAACTTGGAAACAAAGGATTGCAACCTGATTTTTTTTTTTTTTTGATGATACAGATCATGATATGTTTATTAATAAATTGAGCTAATGATGTAAAGCATTTGCAGGCTGCAACACAATCAGATTGTTCCTCATTGCATTTGGTTGTCAATTACTCACATTTGTACCTCAGATCAATTAGAAATAACCTAATTACCAAATAATAAAAACTCATTCTAACACCACTACAGCATGACATGGTACAGATTTTGTATCAGGATATCTTGCGCCAAATGGATTTAGATCTACATTCCAACATGTGCCTAGTGTGATTGGAAGATGATCCGATTGCACTTACCCACGCAAAATGCAAATCTCCATTTACATTTTAAATGAGAGATTCTGTTAACTGGCACATTTACACAATTGGAACAAACACTGGATGGTTTAACCTAACTTGTAATGTCTTCTTTAAGTAAAAAATAAAATAAACGTAAAGGTAGGAATTGAAAACTTAAGGTCAGACCCCATTTCATTTTCACCAGTACAACCACAATATGTAACTCAGGAAAAACATGTTACATTGTTTTGTTTCATATAAATGGTCTTAAAAATTACATATTATTACATGATGCCCATCTGCTATTACACATATTAGTCATCTCTTGAAACTAACATCTTGTTTGCCTTGCAAGAGTAATTAATAAGAACGATTCAGATATCAAGACTTTCTTTAGATTCAATCTTTCATATTTAAAACTTGAGAGACTAACGTCATTATTTTAACCAAAATATGGGGATTTTATTGTTTGCTCATACTTTTCATGTAATGTTTGTTTAAAGTGAACTCCAAATGCTGAACAAAAAAGCCAAAGAAGGCTTGTGGTGAACCATATGTGGTTTTACTGAAATGTGAATACTACACTAACCAAAAATTCCTAACAAACCAAAAACAGTACAGAATATCACAAGCAGCAATCAAAATAATGGCAGGATTCTCAACCAAACCTGATTACTCTCTTCAGAATCCTGATATTGCCATTTTGACTGTTGACTGTGATTTTTAGATTGAGTCTTACTAACAAGTCAGATTTAGCTGCTATTTGCACTAGTGCATTTTCGTTTTAAATCAAAAGCATTTTAGAAATAAACAGTCCTCAACAAGACTGGTGACCATTCATGCTAACTGGGCTTGTGCCATGGTTAGGTAATGGTCATATAAGAGTGGCTTAATAAATAAGAGACCAAACACAATACTCCAGGAGACCAGTCAGAAAGTGTTTGTATATGCTGTGCCTCTGTTTTCAAAGGTCTATGTTTCAGTCCATCTATACTGAAATGGAGCACCAGTGTTTCCAAACTAAAACTGGGTCTCCAGTGTTTGAAAAAATGCTTAACTTTTATGGGCCAAAAGAGCTGGAATAGTGTGGAAGGATGTCAGGTATAACCGTAACAAAGCTTATTTGGCTTAAAATGAAAATACACTAGTGTAAATGGCACCTGTGTTTCAGTCCATCATATACTGATTCCCAATCCAAGACAGATATGAAACTCCTTGAATTTTCCCTGATTTTCACTGAATAATAGCTAAATTTCTAGACATGAGAGGGGCCGACAGCATCACCTGCAGATTAAAGTCTATAAATATAGCGACAAAACTAAGGGTGCTTTCACATCTGTAGTTGTGTAGCATCATTTGGTCCAGACCAAGGGTCCTAATACATGATACAGTACATTGTTGCATCTTCTACTGTCTTTGGGTTGTTTTCACACCACACTGCTGGCTTTGGTCCGAACCAGTTGAAACGAACCAAAATGCAGTCACCTGACAAAATCCACATCTCTCATTGGCCAGATGTTGTTTAACATATTTCCTAATCTGCTTATTGATTGGTTAGAATTCACGCGCGGGGAAATGCCAATGAACTTCGCAGGAAAACAAAACCGGCTAACACAAAATGTCACTTTTTACTATGAAGGAAATTTCATACATTTCGAGAATGAAGCACGGCCGCAGCTGGAAAACAGGGTTTTAATGCATCGCACATCACTTCAGGAGGAGGCGTGAATTAATTTAGCTAAACTGCGACATGGTCATCTTGCGGAAATGCTACCAACGATCCATCAGGTAATGTTTTCCCCCCTCTCTCTCTGTCTCTCTCTTTCTCTGTTGGTAAAGCGCTGTCAACAAATATTTTTCCTCCATATCCCATAATGCACAGCGCATCGGCCTACGACAGCTGGATTAGTCCAAAAGGCGCAGAACTTTTTGCGGTTGGACCTGTTTTAGTACGAATCATATTCTCACCACAAACGAACCGCTCCAGGGGTTTGTTTGAAAGCGTACCGAGACCACCTCTCCAAGCAGGTCTCGGTACGCTAATTTGGTCCGCTTTTGGTGCGCACTCGAGTACGATTGCTGCATTCTCACCTGCTCAAACGAACCACACCTAAAGGGCAAACAAACTCTTGTGCGATTCAATCGAGCTAAATAAGGCAGGTGTGAAACCACCCTAAGTTGGCAACACTGAAAGGAAATGTGATGAATAAAAAATATGGTACAGAAAAAATACCTTTTGATAAATGGAAATTTAAGTTAAGTTTTATAAACTAACTTCGATAGGATCACATTCTATGATTGACCACGTCTGGCTTCACATCACCATTCAAATGATAGACCAATCAGATTAATTAAACCCTACATAAACAGCCCCTTTTTCTTAGCACCCTTATCTTTCCATTCCACACTGGGGAAGCTCTCGAGACCTACCTGATTTGCCGCTGACCTACTCACACCTGCAGCTTCTCCATGATGGCCATCCAGCATTCTCCAGCCTTCACTTCAGACACCCTTCTATACTAACCAACCAGGAGGGAGCCCCGACGCTCAAGGATCTCCGAGCTCAGGGCTCTCTCCCAGGACAGCATGCCAGACCTGCAATCAGAATCAAGCATTTGCTAAGCGTGAACTCTTGAAAGTGACAAACTAAAATCCCTAATGATTCATGACAAGGACAAAAACTATACAAATTCCATCACTTTCAAATGTCTTAAATAGACCTTTTAAAATTCAACAATATTCCAAAAATTCCATTATCTGTTGGAATCCTGCGAAATGGAGCACCAGTGTTTCTTCAGATGCTGTTTCCATGGGTCCAAGATGCCAGAGTATTGTGGTTGGACAAATGCAACCATAACAAAACTTTTAAAAGTTTTTTTTTTGTTTTTTTTTACTATGAACAGCTCTTTAATGTATCATTTCAATACTTGAAAAGACAGCGGATTCTGAAGCAACTGGGTAAAAACATACCCAGGAGGTGACATTTTCATGAAGGACAGCAGCACACACAGCTTTTCAGAAGATCTGGATGACGATAATGTCAGCGCATTACTATTTATCACTGTCATTCAGAGCACACTGTCCCTCCTGAGGAACAATAGGCTTCCTCTGGGAATAAACTGAAAAGCAGAGCCATTGTCTCCCCGTGCTAATCACCTGGCAGAGAGCTGACAATGAGTAATTGCTGTGATTCTGAAACCTGCATTCTCTGAGGTGTTTAAACACTACTCTCCATAGATGAATAGACATGGGTTGTATTCAGCATTTATGCGCGATTCCCATGTTAGACCTTCTTTTGATAATGTACGGCAAGTGATTTACACACACACACACACACACAATAAATAGCCACAATAAATGCACTTGTTTTTGATAAACCCAGTGGATGTGGGAATAACAATACACTCCAAAAATGACATTTGCTGTTTGTTCAAACAACAATTCTTGAGGTTTTTTTTTTCAACAACCTAATTGTTTTATATTCAATCCACTTACATTTGTAAAAATTAATAAGTTAGCTTAATTCCTTCATGTTGTTCGAACCACAAGTCGATTGTGATGGTCACAACACAAATTACGTTAACTGAACCGTTTTTACAAATGTTATTATCAAAATACAAGTCAATTAAAATATTACCTGAATATAAATTTTTACAAAACTTCATTCTATCTTTAAAAAGATTATAATATTGCCTGAATTTGTGGACTTCTTAGTCCAGTCATTATCCATTCTAAATGTTGACTGGATTGAAAAATAACTCTTCATTAAAACCATATTTGTGCTTAAATTAAGTTAATAGAATATGCAATCACTTAATTACTTGACTTTTACTCACTCTTTACACTCCCCTAACCCAACCCTCAAAAACTGCTCACCTGAGATTTATGTCCGCCCA